AACTTGCCTGGCACAATTTTCCTTAGACAAACAGTCAAAAACCTCTCCAAAAAAATTCACTGGGGTGCTGGAGTGATAGTACAGCGGTAGGGCATTTGCCTTGCACGAGGTCAACCCAGGTTCGTTTCCCAGCACCCCATGTGGTCCCCTGAGCACCGCCAGGAGTAATTCCTGAGTGCAGAGCCAGTAGTAACCCCTGTGCATCGCCAGGTGTGACCCAAAAAGGAAAAAAAAAGAATTCACATCAGCCGGAGGGATGCTCTAGAGGGTATGGTGCCTGCCATGCACGTGGCTGACCCGAATTTGATCCCCGGCACCCCATATAGCCCCCTGGGCATGGCCAGAAGTAAGCCCTGAGCAAAGTCTAGTGTGGCCCAAAAAGAAAAACCCAAAATTTAGGGACTGGAGCAACAGAACTCTGCCAGGAATAATCCCTGAGCAAAGAGCAAGGAGTGGGACCCAAAACCAAACAAACAAACAAGAAATTCACATCAAGTTCACATGGTGAAAGGACTGAAATAGTCTAATCACAAGATACAGGATTTGTATATCCTCACATCTCAAGACTGCAGAACAGGCAGGAGGTACGGAGGGGAACTTTTACGGGGTCCCAACAGTCCCAGATAGGCCTGACAAACAGCCCCCACTACCTTCAGTCCAGGACTCCAAGGAAAGGGGAACGGAATCCCCAAAGATCTTTTTTTAATTTTATTGAGATAGTGACTCCCCAAAGATTGTTATCATTGCACAGGGACAGTAATCAAGTGTTTTCATTCTATTTCCGGAGGCCAGAACTATGCCTACACGTAGCAGGTGATGAGGGAAGGAAGAAGGGTCCTACCAGCCTAGCTTCCACATTTCAGCATCCTCCTCCTGGAGCCCTCCCCTCCTGACTTCCTCTCCTCATCTCCTCTACTCCTCCAGAGTGTGGAGGCCTCGGATGCCCCAACTTCAATCCCACACAGACGCATCTTTTACAGCATACACATGGGTTACTCACTCTGTGAACAGACAACAGGCCGGCCACCCTCCACCCCCTCATACACAGAGAAGCACACGCGCACACACCCCATGAACAATGGCTGCAATGTAGTCAGGGAGACAGATGGTGACATAGAAGACCTTGAGCTTTATTTATTGATGGCATGCTGTTTATTAATTTTTCAAGATGATTCTGTGTCAAATGAAATAAGTAATAATAACAATGCAATATGTCATGTAGATAATCTGGGAATTTACAAATTGGGAACACGTTAAGATTTATCAATTGTTTTAAATTTATAGGCAACTTTCTCTTTTTCTGGGGGCATGGGGTACACCCAGCAGTGCTCAGGGTTTACTTGTGGCCCTGCACTCAGGAGTCACTCCTGTCAGGGACAGAGGGACCTTCTTGGATACCAGGGACTGAACCTGAGTCAGCAGCTTGCAAGGCAAACACCCTACCCACTGTACTATTACTCCGGCCTCCAGACAACTTTTCTTGATTGAGCATCTACAACTTAAGTCTGGCATTCCAGATCTACTAAATTTGACATGTCTGGGGTACCAGGGAAATAATACAGTGTGCAGGGCACTTGCCCTACATGTGACCAACCTGGGTTCAGTCCCCATCATCCCATATGGTCCCCCAAGACCCCAACGAGTAATTCTTGAGTGCAGAGCCAGGAGGAACCCCTGAGCATCATGAGGTTTGGCCCCCAAAATAAACAACAACAAAAATACATTCTCATAAAATAAAAAGGAAAAAACAAGGACGTAAGAGCAACTGCTTCTTTACCACGAGGTGGTAAGAAGTCCTACATCATTCTGTACCTTCCTCTGTAATCTGAACAAAGATTTACTTGTTCAAAATATCTTAAAAAAAATGACAGAAATTGAAAACTTTTTATTTTTTTGAATTCTTAAAAGTAGGGCTCCTTCAAAGTTTAAATTCTATAGTAGGTGATGTTAATGCCAGAGTAGGGCTGAAGAGATAGTACAGCGGGTAGGTGATTGATTTATATGCAGCCGAATTGGGTTTGATCTCTGGCATCCTTACTTTATGGTCCCCTGGAGTGATTCCTAAGCGCAAAGCCAGGAGTAACCTCTGAACACTGCCTGGTGTGGCTCCAAAACAAAATGAAAACCAAAAAAAGGACAGAGGTGGAAAAAAAAATAAATTTTCTGGGGCTGGAGAGATGTACAAAGGTTAAGGCGTTTGATAGCATGGTACTCAATTCCCAGCACCATATACAGTCCACTGGGCCCACAAGGAGTCACCTCTGAGTAGAGACCCGGGAATAAACCCTGAGCACCACTGGGTGTGGGCCCCAAACTGAAAAAAGTGTTAATATATTATGGATAATATTCTGTATTTACTGAATATGTGCCTTTGAAAAAGCCCAGTTTTCATACACTCTTTGGCTGTCTTATGCAATAGCACATACAGTCTACATAGCAGTACAAAACACTGGTTTTCTGTAAAATATCTAACAGCAAGAATGTCTTTTATTGCTGGGCATCAAACATACTGTTATGACAGTTCAGAGAACACCCAGTTCACAAGTTTCTAGATAGAACTTCAGAGGCGGTGAACAGCTAATGAATTCAGAAAGCAGAAAGACAGCAGGTAACTTCAGTCTTGGGAACGAAGGCACTCACGGACACAGAGCCCCACTCATTTCTAATCCTCACATCATCTGCAGCCTTTCACCACACTCACCACTATTTCCCAAGACCATTTTTCTCTCCACCCATCTTTATTTCCCCCTTTCCAAACATCTGACTCATCAACTTTTTTTCTTTGGGTCTCTCCTACCAAACTGCTTTTCTTCACTCAGATTCTCGTGAGAGCATGTTGAGAGGAGAGACTGTTGGAACTGCGAGTGTTGAGTGAGTCCAAGAACACACAGAGAGCATACAAGTGCCAGGGGGTGGCATTTTCCAAAGGCTCGGGGTCTTTGTAGCCTACCTATAAAAACTGTCCCTTCTGCTACAGCGCCAGGCAGAAGAGACGGCATCCCACTAAGCCTTCAAGTTGGTTAGGAAATACCATCTCTCTACCCCAGGTCGCTCATGACAGAAAGCAAGGAAGCAGTCTCAGGTTTCGAAAGAGGATCGCCAGAGCATGGGCGAACAGCTTCTCTCCACCCTCCCAGTGAGAGGTCACTTGGGTTCCACCTGCTACTCTTCCTTCCTTTCTTGGGTGTGGCCCACAGTATTATTTTGTGGCCTTCACAGGTGAGCTAGGAAACAACACAGCTTTTAAAACTGCACTGCTGATACCTGTTGACAGCAACATCCCTAGGAAGGGATGGCCCATCACCAGCAGGTGCATTTTACTTTGGCTCTCAATAGTTCTTTGTAAAAAAAAAAAAAAAGAAAAAAAGTCAGGAGGTGGGGAAGCTGCCGGGAGGGGGCCCGACGGACAGGACTGATTACTCTGGGGTGTGGCTCTGACTAGGTGGCGATTGGAGGATGGTGACAATGTCTGAACTTTCAAGTATGTGAGGAGCAATTATATGCCACAGAGCCTGTCTGATGTTCAGTTCTGCACAATTGTGTAATGGGAAACCCTGATGCAATGTTTAAACAACCAAAATCACGGTGATGAAGGGAAGGGTACATCTTTCCCAACTGCTGTAGGCAGAGCAGAATCCCAGAACAGAAAAAAGAGATTTAAAAAGGAAAGGTGTCCTATAGCTATCACCACCGCAATGTCTAGTTCTGGTGGGATTATTTCTGTTTCAAGCTTGAAAGCTCCTGAAAAATAACACACTTCTCTAAAGAAGTTCGCGAGCCAAGTCAATGGTCAAAGAATCCTTTCGAAGACAGAGCAGCACCCTCAGCACCAATTTCCTACACCATCTCTGGCATGGCCCATAATGCCATGGCGCTGTGAGCACAGCTTCCCTTGCTCTAGTGACAGACCCCAACCTACAGGAATATTTTCATTTCCAGCAGCACCAAAATGTGCGACACTCATTTTCCCCTACTGCTGGGAGAGCACATTAATGTCCAATGACTACAAAAACCTACCGTCATCAGCAAGAGGGTCTCTTTATAAAGAGCTTCTTAAGCCAAAAATGTCGAAAGTTTGCTTTGCAAGCCGCTGACCTGGATTCAAACCCTGGTACCCCATAAGACCCCCAGAGTCCCACCAGGAATGATCCCGGAGTGCAGAGCTGGAAGGGAGCCCTGAGCACCGCCGGGTGTAGTAGCCCCACAAAATACAAAAGCAAAAAAAAAAAAAAGAGGAGAGGGTGCAAAATGCACTTAAAAAACCCCATCACCCTAAAACGGCTTCCTCTTAGAAGAGCTGCCTACATCAGTCCGGGCCCAGTCCCGGCCAAGGAGGGGACAGTCCAAAGACCAAGTCGGCGGCGGGGAGACCAGAACAGAGGGCAGCCTCGGGGTGCAGGACGGGGAAGGAAGGGTTGTGGCCGAGCCCACCCACCCAAGAATACCCGGGACCCCCCACCCCACCCCATCACGCTGCCTTCCAGCCTCCCCTTGCCCGAGCGCGCTGCACTGCGCAAAGTCACCGGCGCGCGCCCGCCCGTCACCCATCACCGTCGCGGGCCAGCACCGCCTTGGAAACGGCCCTTGTCCCAGCTCCCTGGGGCCGGCCCGCGGCTTTTACTTTTCCTTCCCGATCGCTCCGGCCAAAGAGCAGCCCAGAGGAGAAACTAAGCAGATTAGCTTGGGGGTGTCCAAGCCGCCAACGCGGAATTAATTAAAAAAAGAAAAGAACCGGCAGCTCCAGCGAGGGGCCCCTCCCCAGTCCTGCATCCTGCATCCTGCATCCTCGCTCGCCTCAGCATCAGCAGCGGGGTCCGGCAGACGCAGAGATGCGGCGTTGGGGGGTGGAGAGTGGGGGGTGGGGGGAAGCCCCCCGAAACGATCCGCGGCGCCTGAGACCAGACGAGGGCAGCTCGGGGCGGGGCGGGGGGTGGACAAGAGCCCAAGGGCCGCAGGGGGCCGGGCGGCGGCCGCGGGACGCACGGGGGACCGGGCTTTACCTCGGATGGACCAGGTCCAGCGGTAGAACTCCACCGTGTCGTTGAGCGCCGTGGACACCACGTTCAGGACGCTGCTCGGCTCCGAGTCCAGGAGCCCCATCGCGGCGGTCAGCGGTCGGCCGGCGGCAGAGACGTCGAAGGGGAAGAAAAGGACAGGAAAGCCGGCGCGGGGGTCAGCGGGAGAGTGGACCTCGGAGGCGGCGGCCGGGCGCGCGTCTCCTCCTCCTCCTCGGGGCGCGGCGGCGCGGGGAGGATGCGGCGGCGGCGGTTGCGGCCGGGCTGGCCGGGCTGGACCGGGGAAGGCGCTGTCCGGGGCTCCCGGCGGGACGAGGAGGAGGAGGAGGAGGAGGAGGAGGGGGAGGAGGCGACGGAGAAGGAGGAGGAGGGGCCGCTGCGAGCGCCGGCCGCTGCACCACTGAGCCCCGCCGGCCGCCGCGGCTCCAATCTACTCGGCGCCGTGACGTGGGCGCGCGCGGGGCGGACGGGCCGGCGCGTCCCTCCCCCCGCCCGCGCGCCCCGGCTCCCGCGCAGGGATGCGGCGGCCGGGGGGCGCGGGGAGGCGGGTCCGCGCAGGCGCGCGCCGCCCCGCACCTGCTCCTGCTCCTGCTCCTGCTCCCCCACCCACCCACCGGCCCCTCCCCGGCCCCGGCCCCCGGGCATCGCGGAGGAGGGCGCTTCCTCGGAGACTCGGGTGACCTCGCTTGCGCCCTACATACAGGCGCTTAGGAAACTGCGCGGGAAGGGGTGGGCTCGGGGACCAGGCGAGGTCGGGGGAGGTGGTCAGTCCCCGGGGGTGCTGCGGCTTTCTATCCCCCCCACCCCTCGCCCCTGCAGCCGCTGCTGCCCGCGTGTGCCCGGCGGGGGCCCGAGGCTGCGCATCCCTCCAAGGTCCTGCTGGTCCTCGGGCCAGTGCGCAGGAAGAACGGGCGGGTTCACTGTCGATGGGAACGAACGCACGCTTGCATGCGCGCAAGGGGGACCTCTGGACGTGCACAGAGCGTCTGTGTGCCTTGATTGTGCGGTTCACTGTGACCCCCTGAGAAGCCCCCCCGCTAGGGATGGATGGGCCTTAAGGTCAGGGATGTGGTCAGGGATGGTCCGCTGGCCCCCTGCAGCGCTTTGGCGTGAGTTGGGACAAGGATACTTGCTTAGAAGACACAAGGCAATTCAAGATCTTCAGGGCGGTTCACTGTGACCCCTGAGAAGCCCTCCGCTAGGGATGGGCCTTAAGGTCAGGGATGTCCACTTGCCCCCTGTTTGGCGTGAGTGGACAAGGATACTTGCTTAGAAGATATAAGGCAATTCAAGAAGGGAAGGACTCTTGTTTTTCTTTCTGGGTCACACCTGGCGATGCACAGGGGTGACTCCTGGCTCTGAACTCAGGAATTATCCCTGGCGGTGCTCAGGGGACCCTATGGGATGCTGGGAATGGAACCTGGGTTGGCCGCGTGCAAGGCAAAGGCCCTACCCACTGTGCTATCGCTCCGGCCCCAGGACTGTTGATTTTTTAAACGCTCTGTAGCACAAGACAGTGGGCTCTGGAAAGCAGGACGATGCTACAGACATTCATCATTGAAGGTTTATAATATCAAACAGTGCCTCGGAGAATGATACAGTGACCTTTCGCCTGGTTATTTAGACATGTCGCCTACTTCTGAGTCTAACCTCTTCTCCAGTTCTTTAGGATGCTCCTTTGAAAGGCAGCTGAGTCAGTTCTGTAGTTGCCTCTGCTCTTTGACACTGTTAAAACTCCTATGAATGCAATGTTTTAGTCGACCCACTTATATCCTATTGAACGGACTCGATTCTATCTTGGGAGTATCCTAAAGGGTAAAACAACTTCTCCGCCTGGTTGAGGTTTATCCCTGATCCCAGTGCTTGAAATAGTAAGAGATATTTATCGTCAAGTCAAAATCATCGTTTATATTTCTATCACAGCATAAAAAAGTGTTATTAGAAGTGGAAGAACCGCTAGGGAGAGGTCATTAAAAGTAACTGGTTTGTTATGTCACTCGGGGAACTACCAACCGCATTAAATACTCTCTTATTGAAATTGGCCAAATAAAATGTATTTTTCCAGATATATTTGTAAACATGTAATTTCTGAAATGGCAACTACTGTTTCTCACATCTCAATCCCAAGTGTTGTGATCAGAAAAATTCTAGTAGTAGGTGTTGAAAGGAGGTACAGTGACATTCATACCATTCTGTTGGTAACAATATTGTTGACCACAGTGCCTAAAAGTGGGGTTCCTGCTAGAGGGGTAGGCTCAGAGCTAGAGGGAAATTGGGGACATTAGTGGAGGAAAGTGAACACTGGACAAGAGATTGATGTTGGAACATTTTTTCATTTCATTTTTTCATCATCCTGTTATTCGTCGATTGCCTCGAGCAGGCCCCAGTAACGTCTCTTTCATCCTAGCCCTGAGATTATATTCAAGGCTCTTTAGGAGAATGAGACCCACCATTGTTACTGGTATTTGGCATATTTGGTGCGCCACGGGGAGTTTGCCAGACTCTGCCCTGTGAGCAGGCTACATTCGATAGCCTGCAAGTTTGTCCAAAGTAGGAATGGAGTTGGAACATTGTCAGCCTGTAAACTCAATCCTGAATAACTTTGTAACTGTAATTCACTGTGATTCAATTAAAAAGTTTTAGGTAACCATGTTTTTAAAAATTCAGTGAAGGCCAGAGAAATAGCACAGCAAGTAGAGCATTTGCCTTGCCTGTGGCTGTGATCCCCGCTTCCCAGTTGGTCCTCCAAGCACTGCGGGGACTGACCCCTGAGTACAGTGCTATAAGTACACCCTAAGCACAGACAGATGTGGCAAAAAAGTACCCCAAAAAATCAGTCAACTGTACCATTTGGAAATTAGATAAAGATCGGTGATCTCCTTATGTATTCTGATGGTCTTACAAATTTCAGATCAGTTCGAACTCATGTAAGAATTTTATTTCTTCTATATTTTGAAATCCTGGGTGCTTTTTGAAGACAACAGATCCCCACCCTTATCGCTATTCGCATAAGCAAACATCTCGGTAACTTTGCTCATTTAATACTATGTGAAATTGCCAAAACAGCTTTAGACATTTCCCTAGGTTTTCTTTTGCAGAGAATGACAACTTAAGTCCCTTTGTTCACTAGGGGGCGCTTGTCACATGTGAGAAAAACTTACACAAGAGATGACAAAGTCAAAGAGTGGCTGTTCAAAAATACATCAAATAAAGGGTGTTGGGAGAAGCATGCTGAAAGTAGACTCTAGACCGAATAAGATTGCCACTCAATGCCTCTTTTGCAAACCACAGAACCCAAAAGGAGAGAGAGAACAAAAGGGAATGCCCTGCCACAGAGGCAGGGTGGGATGGGGGGGATGGAGGGTGGGAGGGGTACTGGGATCAGTGGTGGTGGAAAATGGGCACTGGTAGAGGGATGGGTATTCGATCATTGTATAATTGAAAACCAAGCACAAAAATCTGTAAGTCTACAACTGACCTCAAGGTGTTTCACTAATAAAATTTTAAAAATATATACATCAAAAACAAAGTCCTAGAACACCCCATTCTGAGGCACCTGAGACATAGTACAGTGGATAGGTGCACGCTGTGACCCACTTTCAATTCCTGGCACCCTATATGGTTCCCTGCCCGCCAGGTGTATGACCTAAGCCCATATCCCTGGGCATCAATGTTACAGCTGCTGAAGGGGAAACGTTGAGGGAATGTGAGGATTGAACTTCATAACAAGGAACAGCTGGACCCATTATTTTCCCTAGGGTTAGAAGGCATGACTCTCACCTCTTCTCAAACCTAAATTATAGCTAACTTCTTAGAATCTGTCCCCCAAACCACAAAAATAAATATGCACACCTCCGTTCATTGCAGTGCGTAGTACAATAGCCATGATATGGAAGCAATCCAAATATCCAATGAATGAATAAAGAGGTTGTAATATATAGTAACACAATGGCATGTTATATAGTCATAAGAAAATATGAAATTATGCATTTCACTGCACCTTGGATGCAACTGGAGTGTATTATGTTAAGAGAAATAAGTTAGTGGAACAGAACAAACACTAGATAATCTCATTTGATGTCTACAGAGAAACAGAACAAGGAAGTAGACAGTATCAAGTGGTAGCAAACCCTTGTCCTTGGATTACAAAACTGAGGTTATCAAGTAATCGGGGAAATGAGTGGTGTAGAATAATGAGTAATCGGGGAGACATTGATGGAGAGTCTTGGACACTTTAGTAGTGATGAGGAAACCTAACTATGTACATCAAAACTCTTGAAAATCAATAATAATAAAGTAACTGTAGTTAAAAATAAACAAGTGATCTTAAGGCCTCAACAAAGAAAATATACAGGTGACAAATAAACGTGTGGGATCCTCAGGTGTCATTTGACAGCTGTCATTTGACAGTTGTCATTCTGTAACCAAATTAAAACAATGAGGTCTCACTCTTTACATGATTATTAGTATGGCTAAATTAAAAGATAAGTCTGTCAATCTTAGTTGCTAATGAGGTCATAAAGCAGCAATTATTTTACTGATATCAAGAACACAGAATAATATAAATGCTTTGAAAAAGAGTTTAGAAATTTCTTACAATGCTAAACATAAAAAAGTAAAGGCCCTCCCGTTGATCATCGATTTGCTCGAGTGGGCCCAGTAACGTCTCCATTGGAGACTTTGTTGTTACTGTGTCTGGCATATCGAATACTCTCGGTAGCTTGCCGGGCTCTCCGAGAGGGGCGGAGGAATCGAACTCGGGTCGGCCATGTTGGCTGCGTGCAAGGCAAATGCCCTACCACTGTGCTATCGCTCCAGCCGATACTAAGGTAAAGGTAAAGGTAAAGGACCCCCTGTTGATCGTGGATTTGCTCGAGCGGGCCCAGTAACGTCTCCATTGGAGACTTTGTTGTTACTGTGTCTGGCATATCGAATACTCTCGGTAGCTTGCCGGCCTCTCCGAGAGGGGCGGAGGAATCGAACTCGGGTCGGCCATGTTGGCCGCTTGGAAGGCGAACGCCCTACCCGCTGTGCTATCGCTCCAGCCCTAAACATAATCTTCCCATACCATCACGGATGTTTAACCAAGAATGTGAAA